CAAGAAGCTATTAGGAACAATAAGCTACTAGTAACAAGTGCATCGCTTCTAGTAACAAGTGCCCTACTAGTAGTAACAAGAAGCTATTAGAAACAATATACTAATAGCTTCTTTGTTACTACTAGTAAGGCACCTGTTACTACTAGCGTGGCACTTGTTACCAGTAGTAGCAATAAGCTATTAGAATTATATTAGAACTGAATTAAGTTAAAATATACTAATAGCTTTTTTGTTACTACTAGTAAGGCACCTGTTACTACTAGCGTGGCACTTGTTACTAGTAGGAACAATCAGCTTTAAGATTTTTTTAAAGAAATATACTAATAGCTTCTTTGTTACTACTAGGAAGGCACCTGTTACTACTAGCGTGGCACTTGTTACCAGTAGTAACAACAAGCTATTAGAATTATTTTAGAATTATATTTGAAATATACTAGTAGCTTCTTTGTTACTACTAGTAAGGCACCTGTCACTACTAGCGTGGCACTTGTTACTAGTAGGAACAATAAGCTATTGGAATTATATTAGAATGAAATTAAGTTAAAATATACTTACTAATAGCTTCTTTGTTACTACTAGCAAGGCACCTGTTACTACTAGCGTGGCACTTGTTACTAGTAGTAACAATAAGCTATTAGAATTATATTAGAGTTATTTCAGAAATATACTAATAGCTTCTTTGTTACTACTAGCAAGGCACCTGTTACTACTAGCGTGGCACTTGTTACTACTAAGACCGAGATTTCCGCCGTGGACTCTTCAGGAGTGGTGGGCTCGAGCGAAGACGACGCCTGGACGGCAGATCGGGCGGTGGACGGAGCGACCAGTGGACTGGGGGTTGGGCTGCCGCCGGACACAGGCCAACGGAGGGTATGTCGGAGGTTGGAATTTTGGCTAGGTCATGTTCGTGCCCACAGACTCGACTGAGGATTAACTACCACCACTACTCCAATGGCATCGTCTACTCCCAGTTCGACAATGGCGACCCGGTGCGCGAGATCCCGGAAGCCAGCCGCCCCTTGGAGAGTTTTCGCATGTTTTCCTTGTTCTTTGTGGTGTAGACGAGGGCCCAGAAGAAGAGAGAACCCCCCGCCGTGGATCAAAATAGCTCCGCAGTCGGCCGCATCGACCGCGGGGCAAGCATCGCGCGTGACCGAACACGATGCTTGGCGCCACTGAGGCGGCAAGATGCTGTTGCGGCAACGTCGTGGCGGTTGGAAGTTGCAAAGCGAGATGGAGCAGGAATGAGTTGGGCCAGCTTCGGCCGCCATGAGGCTGGCAGGGCGCCGGCTGGTTGGGGAAATTTTTTCAATCATTGGATCAATCATCAATCCTCCCGGAAGCATTTGAATCATCGATTTTACTTGAGGATCCCTTCTTTGAGTTGGCCTTCCAGACCTTTCAATCGGGGGGGCTCTTCTGTAAGGCGCCACCGAGAATCATGTTTCCAGTGGTCCCACCTAGCCGGCCGCAGCCGGCCCGGCACCCGGGCGAGAAAGACGAGTTTCGCTTCCCAGCCTCCGAGGGAGGTGTCTGACGAGAGAATTTCCAGAAAAGGCAGGGGTGCAACGAGGGGGTGCAACGAGAGCCCCAGGTGTGGTTTCCTTGGGCTTTGGCTCATCAGTCGTCCCTTTCGTCATCAATGGTTGTCCTTGGACAGACATTGCCATATTTCTTTATTAGGTCCATGTCTCTGATTCATTGTCCCTGGTTTGTCTCTCAGATCTCTGCCTCTACGGCTGGTCAGTCTCATGGTATCCCATGATTTTCCGAGGAAACCCCTCCCCCTGGCCCTCTTGGCGGTTGCGACAGACGGACGGTGTTGTCTGGTTCTTGGAGAGTGTCTTGATGAGGTTCTGTTCTATCCCATTGCTCACACGCTCTACTTACTGTGTGAATGGAAGGGTATGTGTCCGTGTGTGAGTGTGAGGTCGAAAAAGAGATGGGAGTTCTGATTCTCAGGAACTGGAAGGACGTAGGGTGATGGGGACGTAGGCTGGCCCCTACGCTAAACCTTTAAAAAGGGAAGAAAGCCGTTCCTTCTTTAGGACGTAGGCCCAGGCTGTTTGTTTTGGGTCCTTGCTTTCAATTGGAGCAGATCTTCGAACGGATCGTCGAACCACGCGCTCGGCCAAAATCGGCTCAGCAGCTGCGTCTAGACACCTCAGATGCCAGGAGGGTTTAGCTCTAAAACAGCGCAAGAGTGGAAAACATGTGGAAAACTGGTTTGAGTACGTGACTGTGTCTTTTTTGGGTGGGTAGGTGGTTCGAGATGATGAACCAACCTCCTATGTCACACCTTCCATCACTGGTTTATTGGCATGCTACCACGTTAGAGGCTTATGATACATTCAAACACTTTCCCATTCGGAGGCTCCTTCATCTTCCCAAGAGCTTTCCTTTGTAACAGGAGGTTTTTATGACCAAGGATCATTGCTGAGCTGAACTGCAAACCACCTGTCCCGAACTTTTGAGAACAGGTGCACCAACAGGACACCTTTCACCGCACCCATGCGTTGTGCACCTCCACATGTCCACGCAAAACTTTGTCAGACACTCTGGGTGACAAACCGGTGCTGGAGCTCCAGCCCGCAAGCCACACACAGATTCCACCAGGAAAAGGGGCTCTGACATATCGGGCTCCAACCAATCGTCCGCTTCCACCATGGTCCCATGCCTCGATGCTGCGGGGGGCCGCAGATGCCCTTGGGACCAGTTAGGATGGATGCCATTGGACCTTCAGGGGGATTCATAACATTTGATTGCAAAAACGAAATATCAATAACATTTGATTGCCACAAGTTGTTAATGTAATGATGATATTTTGGGGTGCAATCCCTAGCTGCCCTAACTCTACATATATATATATATAATATATAAGATTGTACAAGTACATTTATCATTACAGAGCGCTTTTCTGTCCATATGTATATCAATATATTTTTTCATTACGTTTGCAGATATACAGGCGCTAAATGGTGTATATATCGTGCGTAGTCTACGCACTTGATGGTCTCACTGATGTGAACCCATGGTGACATGGCAGCCGGCCCGAAGCAAACCCGCCGTTGATTGGTGTCACGTCCTATTTTAACGGTGACAATGTGAAGGGTCGGTCCATTCGCTGAAGCCCAGTGGTTGGTTCGAGGGATCCACTCTGACAACCAGACCAGGTTCACATTTGTTGTTGGCCCCCTGAACGCTGAGCCAGCGTCACCGCTTTGAAGTCAGGCTCGGTCGAGGAGCTCGCGTGCGCTTGCACGGCCTGCAAGCCAAGCCCTTTGGCTGATTAGGGTACGGAGCTTCAGGTTGGTAGTTCGTAGCAGCATTGGTTTCAGAGAATTGGGAGCTTTGCCACTCCATGGTGTCCTCAAACTATTGGCTTTCACTATGCGGGTTTTGGAACTACGAATAATCGTTTTGATGTTTCCCAAGGCAGTTCGAGGTTGCCCCAAATCAGGCGAGCTTGATGGCTTGATCATTGAATCAAGGTCCAGGGCAATCCCATATCTATGGCATTCCTACTTGCGGACCATGGTGAGGTGATGGTTTTCTCACACTTACTTGGCATCTCAATCTTTGCCTGCTGCATGGGTATGAGCCCTCCCTACACCCAATTCACTACAAACCCATATTCATCCACCACTTGGGATGGATTCTGCATGGGTCTTGCTCCAGGTTTTACCGTTTTGGATGCCTTGTGGAGGTTGTTTGGGCACCTCATGCCGGCTCGGCGCGCAGCGCGAGGCCCGAGCTCAATGGCAAGGAGGGCACCTGTCGGGACGCCTGGCGGTTCGGTGGATCGGTCGGCGAGTTCCGCCCGGGTGGTGGATCGGTGGAGCGGATGGTGGATACGAGGTGGAGCGGAGACTCAAGGTAGACTCTGGAGGTATAGAATCCCTCCCCCGGATCGAATTGGAACATCATCTTCATATGGGGGGTTGATGAATGAAGAGTCTGATCTCATTGAAGAAGACTCCCCTCTTGTGTCTATGGTGGGTGAGCCCGGGCATCGTGTCTTGCCCCTCCTTTGCCGTATCCAAACTTGTTTTTACTTGCCACCAAACTCAAATCCGAGGGATGGCCCTCATGCAGTTTCATCAGGGGCTTCGGGTGGTTTGCACTTCCGGGGGCTGACGAGGCAAATGACAGTGTGCCCCAGTGTTCATTCAGAGTTGCAATACTTGTATGCGAAAGGTCGCAGCCATCCTGTATGATTCAGTGATGCTTCGTCTCATCTCGAGTCATGCTTAGTCATGCGAACCCCTTTTTCATACTTTTTCACTTGGCCTTCTCCGACGCACTGAGCTCAATACGGCGGCGAGGGCTGTACAGACGCTGCTGTTGATTTAGAGTATTGGGCAGCCGGATGAGAGTCAGAGGTGACCGGAGAACTCAGATGTTTTTCCAACATTTTCAGGACAAGACAAGCCTATCGAACACTCCCGGGCTACCATTTCACCACATCCACGGACCGCCCCTGTTAGTGCCGCGTGACCGCCCGACCGTCATGGCGGGTGCTGACATGGACTTGGCCGCGTCCGAGTCAGGCGAGGTCGGGTTGGGCTCGGAGGATTGGCCTATATAGACCCTAAATACGAATGAAACAGCAGATAGAAAAGTAACATCCCTTTCAAATGTATAGGAAAACGTTTCTTTTTCTTTGGGGACCACTATATAGGCTCCCCCGTGAAGAGATGTGTAGCGGCGTGGAGCCTTCGGATCTATGCAGGTGGTGCCCAGTGGCAGACCAGACAGTCGGTGGCCGTGATGTTCTTCGATCGAGTGATCGTTTTTTTCAGGGATCTTCCTGGACACCACCAGCTTCCGGCACTTCGCGCCCCTCCTGGAGGCCAGCCAGGCGAGGTGCTTCCTGGTGGTTCGGTGGGGAGGACGGAGGACACGTGCTCAACTTCAACCTCAACCAGCTGTCTCGAAGGTTCACCCATCCCTGCCGCAGAGCACAAGCGAGAGAGAGAGAGAGAGGGAGAAACGCATCGAACCTACTCGCTTCCCAAGAGGTGGAACTCGCAAGTCGCAAGGCTACTTGGGCTTCGTTTCCAACTCCATGGTAGAATCAGACCTCAGTAGTGCTTGTCAGAGCAATTTTCTGTGATATGGGAGTGTTTTGTCCTTGGGGCCATTGTCTGAAGGTCGAGGTGACGGGACCCTTCTTACTCCTCTGGCATAGTGCGTTCCACAACTGGCCACCACTTCCGTGGAGATGTCGCTGATTCGCCAGGCCTACGCCCAGCTCAGCGGCTGTCGCTTCCGGCTAGCCTCCTTTGGGCCTGGCCATCCGCTGCCGGCACCCTCAGAGGCGGTCCTGGGTGCCCCCGCGCAAAGACGAGACATTGATGGCAAGATACATGGTAGTGGTGGATCCTGAATAGCAGGTGGAGTCAATTGAGTCATTGGAAGTCTTGGGATGGACGTGGATGGGTGCGAAGATGGTCATGGGTGACAGCGTTTTTGGACTACTGAGACACCTCGGGTCCATCCTGAAGATGCGAGATCGTTGGCCTTCCTCCGTCTTCTGGAACTCCACATGCAAATACGGCCGGCCCACCAAGCAATTGATCAACTCCACCCGTGCTGATTGCATTGGAACAAGAAGAAGGAACCCAGTCAGTGGCCCAGATGAGTCTGAGAGAGTCTGAAGGCACGACTCAACTTCCGGTGGTGCAGGGGCAGCCGTCACGAGACAAGAGCCTTCGCTTGGCTGCCAAAGTGCAGGCAGAGCCGCAGGCCGGTGCTGACCCGGGAGGTTTTCCCATGTTTGTCTACTTCGTCTCCGGCTGACATGGGACCACTTTCCATTTTAAAGACAAGAACACCTAGCAGCTCGCAAGAGAACCTTGTCCTACCAAGGTTTGTTGTCCATTCCATCCGAAAGAAAGAGCTCCTTTTTGACCGCCTTCTTTTTCGTTCGCTCTCTCAGCCGCCAAAAGAAAATGCGGCCGAAGGTGCAAGTCTTCTCGGAGCGGCTCTTGGCCGGCGACCCACAGCTGACGGAAGAGTTGGACCGAGCCTTTCGCGTGGTCATGGTCGAAGGCCTGCACTGGGCGCGTGAAGATCTCCAGGGGCAGTGTGGTGTGAGTGTTTTGGCTTTTCCGCCCATGGAGTGGGTCTGAATCACATTCGCTTCCAAGCCCTTTGATCATAGAATATGATATCCCCTGCAGGCCAACGTGGACCGTGAGAATCGACCTGTGGAAGACAACTTTCTTCTACAACCGAGTGGGTTATGGTTTTGGGGGGTCCATGTTGATCTGGATGCGGGCAATGTACAGATTTTTGATGAATTTTGAATGCCAGAGGAGTTTCCAGGGTTATCACTGGACCACTGGACGAGCAACCCTAGAAGAAGGTGCCGAGCTCAAGTCCAAGGAACCTTGCGCGCTTTCGGTTCACTCCTGACACAATTTGCCTCTTCAATCCGAGGTGTATTAAGATGGTTAGGACGGTTAGGACATGAGAATAGACTCATAGACTCATAGACCCACCACCACCACCACCACCACCACCACCACCACGACCACCACCACCACCACCACCACCACCACGACCACCACCACCACCACCACCACCACCACCACCACCACCACCACCTGAGTCTTCCCAGTCTCTCATTCTCGCAACAAACCTCCCACCGCACGCCGCGTGGTCCCACCATTTCTACCGCGCTTGGCGCCCTACGGACTCTTTCCCTCGTCCCTTTCCTTCCCTCAGACTCCATCAACACCGCGGGCGGTGTCGACGAGAGGCGTGCGCAACGCGATGATGGCGGCCTTCCAGCGCTTGGAGCTCTGGCCCCCGCGGCCGGCGCCCGAGGGCATTGAGGAGGACGACTGCTGCTACGAGGCGGATGGAGCGGTGCCGGGTCACCGGGACGGCGATCGGATGGGGATGTGAGACCCGATCGAATGAGGTTGAGTGACATGAGCCAATGCAAGTTGGGACCATCCTTTGGTGCTTTGCCAGTGCTTTGCCTTTTTTGGAGCCACGACGTGTCAGGTGCTGGGAAGGAACAAGAAGCGCAAAATGGATGAAAAAGGTAACTTTTCAAGACTCATGTGGACAGAGTTTTGTAGAGGACAATTGATTTTCTGGCAGGGTTGCCCAGCAGACGCACCATATTAAAATATCTAAATGTTCCGCCACTGAATAATCTGGTTTTGGTGGGTGAAGGGTGAATAACGGCAACATTTCGTTGTCCTGATCCATTTGATTGAGATTTCTCCCCATCCTTTGCCTTTGAACATCGTTGTTTTTGCACGTGGCCCGTCGTCTCCGGGTTCGAAGACGACTGGGAGAGGTGAAGGAACATTTCATGTGGTCAGACCTGGTGGAAGCAGCGCAGGATGTGAATTCGCCCTTGCCGGTCATCGCCCAGCGGCTTTACAATGATGACGTCCGAAGGTGCCTGGGCCAACTGGGTGGGAATGGATGTGGTGCAGGCGTCCAGCGCTGGTTCAGAAGGAACACGGGCGGTGAATTGGAACGGATTCGGGCATGAGTCGGCATGAGAGTCCGTCAAGCAGGTGCCAGTAAGATGTGACGAGCGCTCATGGACATTGGATGATATTGCTGTGTTTGACATTCGCTGGGTTCACACGACTTTTCACCAAGCCCACAGACCTCGCCTTGGATGGACGCACAAGGAGGCTCTCTGAAGAGCCTGACGCCGGTCCATCGCTAGATTCGAACATTAGATTCGAACAGTCCAGAAACCCCCCACCATCGCCTTTCAAGGCGGCCTTTGCATGGGATTCCCTCTGTGTGGAGAACCTGTGTCGCAGAGCGCCTGGATCTCCTGGCGCGCTTCTCCTCCCAGGCTGATGGCCGTGCCCTGCGACGGCGCCGCGTCGCCCTGGCAGCAGCGGGCGCTCACCGCGGCGTTCATCGTGGACTTTGCTGAGGCGGCTCAGGGGCGGAGCGGTCGCGTGGTGAAGTCCAGCCGCTCACCATGGCGCCTGTGGGGGGGGGTCAGTCGCCTGCGAAGCGAACCCGCACAGGAGGTCGGGCTGCCGTGCCTGAGCATGCCGCCCACCCAGCAGGTTGGGGGAACAGTGCACCATGAGGTTGGGAGTACGGAAGAGACCTGCACAACACCAACAGTTTTGCACAACACCAACAGTTTCACGCCCTTCCGGACCAAAAGACTCTCCACCTGGCTGTTTCTGACCAGTGGCTTGACAGTCATTGCAAGAAGTCGAAAAGCTTCATGACTAGGTCCCCAGGTCCTATTGAGCCGTTTGCCATCGTTTGCTTATAGAGACCCTGGTCTCGGTGCTGTTGCTTCGCAGGACAGAGAAACAAACACCATCACCATGCTGTTCGGAACGTGTTGCAAGGAGATGATCGAAGAGTTCGCCTTGCGCGTGGAAGAGTACGAAGCGCAGCAGCGGGCGGAGTCGGCTGCGCTGGATGCGATCGAGGATCCGAGCCCTCAGGTGCGCCGGGCTCCAAACACCTCACTTTTTGACATGCCATCCGTTGGTGCATCCACCTGAACATCACGACCACCTAGTGCCCAAGTGGCCCCAGGCGCAGCTGGAGCCGGAGGCCATGCCTTCGGAGGCGTCGGCACAGACAGCGTCCGCCTCGCTGCTCACAGCTGCGCAGCAGCTGCGGGAAGAGACGCGGAAGCTGAGGGAGCGTGGAGGCGTGGAAGAGGATTTGACAAAGTGGGCGGTTCTATTTCCACTGTGCTTGGACGGGGCAATGTTTTCTTTTGGAGCTTGCTGAAGGGTTCGACCATAACCTATGGCAGTTGGATGATGTTGGATGCATTTTGTAAGGACCAGTCCACCTGGCTGACTGGCCCTCCCCGGCCAGGCCTGTTTGTGCAGGAGAACAAGGCGGCGCTCGCGCTGGGCGCCGTGGGGCTCGTGGGCGGCGCCGTAGCGGCCCTGGCCGCCGGAGGTGCTCTGAGACGGTCGGGTTCTGCGCAGTGGGGCGGCGGACGGAACCACAGACTGGCCCCCAGTCGATCGGAAGGGCCCAGAAGTTCATCAAGAGGGCCTAGAAAAGTACTGTATGTATATTTTTTTTTTCTGCGGTTCTTTTCCAACTGCATGTTCTCAATCGGCCTTTTGCCGGAAGCAGATGGGTAGCTGCTTTTGCCCTTTCTGCTGTGAGCATGGGCCTTTCAAGGCCTTACTTGTCCTGAAAGGGTGGACTAGCGCATGTGCCTTGCAGGCTTGGCACCACAGCTTTCCACCCCTGCGCCACATCCGATGGCTAGGGTGTCCCTGCCAGCCTTCCGGACTCCACAGTTGGTTCCAACATGGCATGGTAGCCAACTCGAGCAGCTTCTCTCGTGAGGAGTTCTTGAGCAACTGGACATGGCATTTCACACAGGAAATGTAGTTCTTGGCTTCCTCAAACTCATGTGGTGCCATGTTTGGGATTTGGCCTCTGATCATCTCTTGCAACAATGCAGACTTGGTCTGACTGGCCGTTTCACCTCCAACAAGGGGTGGTTGTGGGTTGTCAGCACACTGTTCGGTCTTGCCTGCAAGGATGTCTTGGTGTTTACTGTGCATAGTGAGCCGCTTCTTGCAAGTGGCACACTGGACACCTTTGCCCTTGGCAACCCATGTGTGTGATCCCTGGCCTGCGTTGTGTGTCAGGCTAGTGAGTGCATCTTGCTTGTTTGTTCGGGCCTCCGCCCGTTTTTGCTTGCCTGTCTCTCGTGCTTCATGTAGGAAGTGTTGCTTGTCACTGAGCAAATGCTTGATGCGCTGAATCGCTAGTGGTGCAATGCGCTTGTAGCGTTGATCTTGCTCCAACAATTCTTTCTCTTGCTCAAAAGGTTGCATCGACAAGGCTACTTCCTTAGCCGCCTTGGCTGCATCCGCCATCCTGTTGCGGAGAGACCATTCATTGCTTGGCATCTCCTTGAGCTGTTTGGCATTGATGCACAGCACACGGATTCGCTGCTTTTGATCCCAGGTGATCAGGTCACGCAAATCATGAAACACTTCGGCATGTTTGTTTTGCTGCCAGCACTCCCATGCACGTGTGCTTTGCACGTGAACCACCAGTCTCTGCTGCAAGGAAACATAATGAGCTATCATGCGGAGTCCATAGTACCATGCACGTTCCCAGCTCTGTTTTCCTGGCAAAATTGCTATCACGGCCCCTTGGCGATACAACTGTCCTCCAAGTTGGGTGTGGTGGACAATGGAGACTGCATAGTGTTTGAGGCGAACATCAGTGGAAGTGGGGGCGATGCCAATTGTCACCACATCTGGATGTTCAATCCTAGCTTCATCTTGTGCCGTCCACGTTCCCCAGGCCTGAACGGAGGCTCCTCCGGTGGACTGCTGCAGTCTCGGCACCATGAGTAAGCCTTGGGCCCAAAACTCTAAATTCAAGCCATGCTCAAGCTCAAACTGATCGGCAGCCGGAAGTGCAGGGAAGTGTGCCTTGGTTTCTTTGCATAGCCAGAGCAAATGCACCGTAGTTGCCGGTTGGGAGCAGTGAGGACAAAGCAAATGCTGCCCTTCCACGGCATCACTGAACTTTGTAAAAAGTGCCCCTTGGTGCCATGTTTGTAGAGCACATGCATTGTGTTGACTGAGCGTTTTGCTCATTCTTCTCCATGGGAGCCAGTCCAAAGGTTGCTGAACTTCCTGGAGCATGCTTCTGGAGGATATGCGTAGCAATCTGTCACTGCTTTCAGCCCGTTTGAGCTCAGCCTTGATGGTCGGCCATGGGTCGCTCAGCAGGATCCTGAATTCTGGTGCTCCGTTGCTGGCATCTTTGGTCCACTCTTGATGCGTGATGGCTGACCAGCCCTTTTCCTGGAGGTAGCATTGCAGCGCTGCCATGGGTCCACGTGTCACCTGCCAAGGATGAACTGCCTGGGCCAGGCGTTCTTGGTGATGAGCCCAGGATTTCTCTAAGTCTCTTTTCAGAGCTTCTGGCCACTGTCCCGCAAAATGCCGGAAGATCTTGACTTGGTCATAGAACGCAGCATAGTCTGGATCTTGATGGCCACTGTGCATATCGAACACAATGTCCAAGTTCCCGGTTCTCTGATGACCGAGCTGCCGCCCCATGGTGGCTCTGATGCGTTTTCGGACCTGTGGAGCCAGGCCCATTGCCTCATGTCCCCAGCTGATGCTGGCCAGGATACTGCCCTTGTACAGTCTCAAGCGAATTGCTCGTTGTGGGATCTTCAAGGCCTTCATCTTCTGAGTCTTTTTGTTGGCTTTGAATCTTCGAGACTTCATCGTGGCTATGCGTCTCAAACGACCTGCTGTGCAATCTACACCAAGGTCTCGCATCACATCATGTACACCTGGCCCATTTTTTGGCAGCTGTTCAAGGAGAAGTTTCTTTGCCGTGGCATTCGAGGTGATGAAGCCCGTCTTTTTGTCTGACACTTTCAAATTGTCCGCCTCCAAGAGACCTTTGATATACTGAAACGCTGCAATGGCCAATCTGACAGCATTTGCTGGATCACGATCAACAATGTCGAAGCTCAGATCATCTATCCAAAGATCGACTTGTAGTTGAGGGAATCGCTTGCAGAAAGCATGCAAGGCTTCTTTGAGGTAAATTTTTGCAGCCAAAGGTGCTTGTGGATCCCCTGCCAAGATGCCATTGCTGGTCCATATCATCTTGGATGCTTCTCCTTCAGCTTCAATGATCCGACTGCCACAGTAAATCTGCATGGCCAGGGCCGCATGTGTGGCCGGGTAGTCTGAGTCAAGCCAACGCTCTGTGAGCTTCTCCAAGTCAATTCTGTCATAGAAATTGGACATGTCCATGAGCACTGAGACAACTGTGCGCTTGAGGGCATGATGGTGCTCGGTCATGAAGGCCCGTTTCAGCGCAACTTTGAGGCATTCTGTGCCAGGAACTGCTCGTTCCCATTTGTACACATCTTGGATCTCTTGCTGCCATTGCTTTGTGTATGGAGCTCTGACCTTGCACCATAACCTGTACAAGGATGCAACTAATGCAATCGGCCTCTCGATGTCCTTGTTTTTGGGCAGCATGGCAATCAAGGATGAGGTCCATTGATTTGGGATGCTCGCCGTGGCCTCTATCTCATGGAAAAACTGTATCAAGTCCGGGATGGCTTGATAAGGGAGCTCTTTGAAGAAGTCATAGCCAACTCCATCAAGGCCAGGCGCTTTGTGGCTGAGGCGTTTGATCACTTTCCACACTTGATGCACATGCAGTGGCTGGAGCGTTTCACGTGCATAGTCTTGACCCTTGTAGATGAGCGCTTGTATCGTTTTGGGTTCAAGTGGCTGCTCTCTCGTCTGCCAGATTTCCCCCCATTGTTGGAGTCTGTGCTGCATCCGTTCTGTACGAGGGAAATCTTGAAAGGGTCTCGCATAAGGCATTTCATCTTTTTTGAGGGTTCTGAAGAGACCCCTGCAGCCTGAGAGCGAGGCAGCTTGCATCCAACTTCTGTACTCTTGTGTTTCTGTGTCAAACACCTGTTTTTGATGAAGTTCCCATTGCTGCTTGACGGCTTGTAGAAGGACTTGAATGTGCTCGACATCATGACTCTTCCACAGCATCTGAAAAAGGAGTTTGAAACCTTCAAGCGTCATGTTGCTGTCCGGATGCCAGTTGCGATCAACATGCCAACCAAGGCGTTCTAGATGATGCATCTGTCTGTCCTCTGAGTTCTTCCGATGCATGTGCTGTTGCAGTCTGATTTCCAACTGGGACCAGTAGGCCAATGACCCTTTCTTCCACAACCATGGTTTGCTCGGATCATTCAGCGGTTTTTGAACGTAGTTCAAAGTAGTGCCACGGCCATAACTGGGAGTTGTATGCTGTTGCAGAACATAGCGCTCAATCTTGTGATACAGCTGTCCTGCCTGTTGCGTGATCTGGTTGGTGGGCATTCCAAGCCATTTCACTGGAAGGTCAATCTCAGCAAGCTGTGTCCATTCCAGGCTGATTTTCTCCAGTTTGGGCGCAGGCTGATGTCGCTGTATCTGTGTGACCGTCACTTGATGTAGATCTTTGGCCAGGTGCAGGTTTATCTGTGCATGCGGTTTGAAAGGGACCATCCAGTTGGCTTCAATGCGGACTTCAGGGAGAAGAGCTGTGGTCACCAAAGCCCAATCCAGTTCCCTCCCTGTGGCACAGGTTTCCTCGCCTGTTGCTAAGACTTGCACCTGCATGATGGTGCCCATCGTGGTGGCCATGAATTCCTCTGGTGTGATGTTGAAGTCTCCAAACACTATCACCGGCTTGGCAAGACTGGTGACAAAGGTGAGGAGCCCGGACCACAGCAAAGAATTTGTGGCTCCTTGCAGGCCTTCTCCACACTTAAAATATACCATGACCAAGATGAGATCAAAGTTTTCGAAAGTCCAGTGTACTGCAAACCACCCACAACCGTCAATGATCTGCTTTTGAACGTAGTGGAAATGCAGATTCGCCGGAAAAACCAGCAAGAGGCCTCCATTTGTGCCTCCTTTGGGGCTTACCGCTGCGGCTTCCCCAATGATGCCGTAGCCTCTGGTAGCAAACCATTGCAGTGTTTTGTCATGGTCTTCCGGGCTCAAATGAGTTTCCGCCAGGAAGATTGGCGTTCTTTCTCTGCCAAGCAACCATTGCCGCACTGATTGGCCAAGAGTCGTGACATTTGCAAAGGAAAAGCCAACACCATGAGTACAATGGCGTTTGTGTGCCTGCACTTCACTCAGCTCCGTCTGACTGGCCAGAATGTCAGATGGGATGTGCTCCGGCAACACCATGTCGGAGGGAATGGCCCAAATCTGAACTATTTGTGTCAAAAGGCTGTCTTGCAAGCGTGCCACCGGTCTGGGATAGGATCCGTCATCGACAATCCAGTAAAGTCCACGGTAGGCAAAAACTGCAAAGAAATGTCCACTTTTGTGTGCTGTGCCAGAATGACACAACAGGCCAATCAAGGAATACTGTTCTGTCTGGATCTTGTTGCCATCTAAAGTGTACGGCAGATTGAAAACCGAAGGTACATGCAACACCTGATGATGTTTGGTCCACTCCAAGTGTTGGAAAGTGTACCTGCCAATTTGGGCCACCCAAAGCCCTCTGCCGGCTAACACTTGGCCTTCTGCTTGGTTTGCCCAATTGCTGATGAGCTCTTCAAATTCTTGCGGGTGACCTTTGTCTTCAAAGATCAAGTGCATAGGAAATTCTTTTCTCTGATGCACCTCCTGTCGATGGTCAATGTGGTAATACTGCGTGATCACCTGTTGGGGTTGTGCCAAGTCCTTCAACTCAAGAAGAAAATGGGCTGCATCATCCTGGGCATTCTCGTCAAATTTTTGCCACAAAGGCTTCAAAGGTTGAAGCTGCGGCAACTGAACTATCTCCTCATCGGCCAGAGCAGCCTGAACTGCCTTGGCGGTGTGGTTCCACATCTTTGGTCCAGCCAAGAAACTTCCTGACCAGGCCCAGAGGCGAAAAGGAGCATTAGCATAGCATCTGTTTCGAGGATTGCCAAGGCGGCAATGCAAATTTTGGAGCACGTAGTCCAGAGGGCACTGGGCTACCTGCCTATCTTCCCCATGTTGGTCAACTTCCATAGGCGCTTCAGTGTCCAGGTTCTCCGCCTGGGTTCCAGCGCCTCCACAAAAACTCGGATAGCTGCTGCCATCCTCAAGCATCACCTCATTGGAGCAAGGTGATGCTGCCCCAGGCTCGGCCATCTGGTCCCTTTGATCGCCTGAGCCAAAATCTTCCCCATCAGACTCCATGCTGACATCATTTCCCCCATGATGTGTGCAAAGTGTCTGAGCGCTTTCTCTGATCATGAAAAACTGCGTGGCAGGGTTACCCGCACTTCCTTCTTTTTGACACATTCTCAACAAGCTTGTGTGCAAAGTCCTGAATCTGTGTCGAGGTGGCCTGTACACCGACACTGGCCATGATGGCCATCAGATTCTCTGGAGTCAATTCGTCTGGATCGACATTGCTGTCGGCTGTTGCCTGCTTGTCTTCTTCCAACTGCTTGTTGTAGAGCGTGGTGGCCTGTTGGAGATCTTTTTGAGCACTCTCAATCTTGCTTTGAAGCTCTTTGAGCTCTTGAAGCAATGCAGTGTACTGTGCCTTCACTGCATCAGCCTTCGACTGGATGGCGGCCTTTTTGTCAGTCAATTGGCGTAGTGCCCCAACCGACTGCTTCAGCTTGGTCGCCAAAGTCGGTTCCGGTTTGTCTGGAACAACAATCTTCTCAACGGCAGCTTTCAGATCCTGTGGCAGACTCTGAAGATGCTCCTTGATCAAGCTCGGAAGATCAGGTGGTGGAGGTGGTGTCGTTGGCGGGACACCTAGGGCTTCACACTGAGTCTTCATGGCGTCCGGCAAGGAGTCCCAGTGTTCCTGAACTGCTTTGCATAGGGCGGTCTGTTTGACCTTTTTGGCGCGCTTGGCCGGTTGGCCTCCGTACAGGCCCGGAGGTGGTTCTAAAAGAGCTTCTTGGTAAGTTTTCTTCGGCCATTGGCGGCCTTTCGTCGGGTAGTTCCAAGCAGCCCATGTGACTGGCCGCCTTTTCAGGTCAGGAACCCTGGATTGCTGCCATGGCTTATTGCATTGCAGGCACCTCAGGTTCGGCTTGTTGATGAGCCTGTCCTGCCAAATCCAGCTGCCACTGCAGCCAGAGCACACCTGGTACCCTCTTCTCATTCTTCGGCAAAAAGGCGATCTTTCCCGTCTTGATCTCCCGGGCCGTCAGCACGTTCTCGCGATGTGCCCAGCCAATCAGTCGCCCTTTTTGAGCCGAAATCTTGAGCCTTGAGCCACTGTATGTATATATATATATTTATTATATGTATACCTTATATTCAGGGGGGACAACGTGAGTTGTGCAGTGTTGTTCCTTTTTCGGTGTCGTCTTTGGTCCGGGAGGCTTGTTGAGCGACGCGATTCCAAAAGAGTGTTTGTATAATATTTACTGTATATAACACGCATGTATATACAGTAGTTATATTTTTGGGAGTTTTCAAGCAACGGGTTTCGCGAGTCTTGACATGCCGCCTTCGTTCGGCCAAAGCTGTTTACTGGGCCCTGCCAAGGTGCAATCATGGCCACGCGGCTGTCGCGGTCACAGGATGATGCCCGCCAGGAGGATGACGAGGGCAGCTGACTTCGGTCAAAAGAGCCGGAAGGTGTGGAGGTGTGGCTGGAAAGAAGGACCCAGAACAGTGTAGTCTTATTTCGTTTTTTTTTTTATCTCCCCTCTCTTTGTCCTATTATTGCTACAGTATATATCATATATATGTATATTTATATTATATATATATATCTTTTTGGGTTTTTCAATGTTCGATTGATTCCTTCAGTGCCGGTGGAACTCAGCCGAGCCTCGGTGGTTCTCGTTGTGGACACTTGCTCACTCAAGCGGCGGCCGTCGACCCTCAGGTCTCGAGCGGAAGGCAGACACGGGACGATGGCTGGTGGCCAGCCCAGTGGTGTGAGCACAGTGCGGGAAGTGGTGGCAAGAGAGAGGTTTTCTTTTTTTGTCCAGGCTTTCTGTGGCTCAACGGGTTAACTGATTCCTCATTTAGATTGTTAGTGGCTCCGTGCGACTTCACTCGAGCTGATTCAGTTGCTCATGTTGAGTCAGAAGATGTCTTTTCTCAGCTTTTGAAGCTCGAGCCTGCTCAGCTTAGCGTGCAAGCGCCCCTCTGACTCGTTCCTGCGTCCTTCGAAGTCACTGCATTTCAGCATGTCTGACAAGCGCGTAGACCCAGCGACAGGAGAGGCAGTCACGTACAACGAGCTGGTTACCACATACAAGAAGACCTACAAGAGGCGCGAGATTGAGGAGTATTGGGAGGCTTGCAAGCCAGCAAGGGCCAAGAAGTCGAAGGCAGCACCTGCTAAGGAGTCCAAGCCCTCGGCTAAGGCGAAGTCCAAGCCGGACCCCAAGGCAAAGGCGAAGGATGGCAAGAAGGACGAGAAGGCTAAGCCCAAGGCAAAGGCCGCCCCCACCAAGCCAGAGACCAAGACAGATGACAAGGCACCTGCAGTGGCCGCCATCAGTAGCCTATCTCGGTGGGAGTGAGGGAAGAGGAAAGCCCATAGTGTCTCCTAGTGCCTAGTAGTGACATTCTTTTTGGTCGTGCAGGCTAGGTGGGACAAAACAACAGTCGTCATCCTTTCCCGCTGGCAGGTCCGCACTGGCAAGGATGGAGGTGCCTCAGCTTTGGCCAAGTTGCGCTCGTTCAGCGGCTGCGTTTTGGCCGAGTATGTTTGGTTGGATGCCGATGGCGTGACACGGTCCAAGACCATGACCATGACCGCCAGGCAGGGGCATAGGCGGCATAGGTGTGAAAGATATAGCCTCATCATTTCCATACTGGTGGATGCCCCTGCAAGACTAGGCTCGATTTGACTCTGTAGGCATGCCAACCTGTTGCCGTTCCTGGTGGAACCAATAGATTTGACAGTCCTAGAATCCCAGAGGTTTGGAGCTTGTGAGGTTTCTGCTCAGTAAATAGGATGGTAGGCACGTCGATCAAGTGTTGCACTTCATTTCTGGAAGGCCTTTGAAGGTGACCGACCTGAAAGTGTGGAACTACGATGGCAGCAGCACTGGACAGGCAGATGGACACAATTCGGAGGTGCTTTTGAAGCCAAGGGCGATTTTCAACGATCCTTTCCGTGGCTATCCAAATGTGATGGTGCTTGCTGATGCTTGGAACGCCTGGGATGATCAGCCAGCAAAGAACAACACTCGAGCCCCGTGTGCCGAGATCATGGACATGTACCGCTCCTTGGATCCTTGGTTCGGCATCGAGCAAGAGTACACCCTGATGAAACCGGGCAAGGTTGGCTTGAAGCCCACAGTTCCCTTGGGCTTCAACGCAGATGGCAGTGAGCCAGCGCCACAAGGGCCGTACTACACAGGTGCTGGCTTCAATGTGGCCATCGGCCGTCCGGTGGCAGATGAGCACTACAAGTTGTGCATGGAGGCAGGTGTGAAGATCTCAGGCATCAATGCAGAAGTGATGCCTGGCCAGTGGGAGTTCCAGATTGGCCCATGCCGTGGCATTGAGATGGGAGATCACCTGACGATGGCTCGATACATCATGCTGCGCGTGACAGAGAAGCACGACTGCGTTTGCTCTTTTGAGCCCAAGCCAGCAAAGGGTGACTGGAACGGTGCCGGATGCCACACCAACTTCTCTGTCACACCTATGCGAGTTGCCGGTGGCTATGACACCATCATCAAGGTGTGCGAAGCATTTGGCAAAGTCGCCAAGGAACACATTGCCGAGTACGGGGAGGACAATGACAAGCGCCTCACTGGCAAGCATGAGACCTGTGACATCAATACTTTCAAGCACCTTTCATGCATTCTGGAAGGGGCAGGGGCTGGAGTTGTTGATTGTCCCAATGGTCCTAATGCTCAAATGCACACCTTTCGTTTGAAATCCAAGTTGAGGCAAACCTTAGCATTTTTTGGTATAGTGATACCTCAAGTGTGTCCATGGCTTGCATGATTCTACCAGTTAGTTTTGGCATGTTTCTGCCTAAGCCCATTGGCAGAAGCCAACCACGACCCCCAATCCCACCCCCCAAAACAATTCCCTGCCGTGCTTCCCCTCCCAAAGCTGCAGGGCGTCAAGGGATTTAAACTCCGGGATCAGCCCCTTGCAACTCAGCTGAGTTGCACGAGTGGCCCACCGCGTCGCCTCGTGGCCAACCGAGTCGCCCAAGGTACGGCGTGGCCAACCGCGGTGCCTCCATCCGCATCCCCCGGGAGGCCGAAAAGAGCGGCCGCGGGCCGCTTGGCCAGTGTGGAATGAAAACCTTTTGGGTGGCAGAGGCTGAAAAGAACAAGGGCCAATGAAACATCGGAGTTTTGGGGTTTGCTGAGGCACTCAGTACTCAGTGGCTTTTTCCTCCGTCCAAAACGGGGGGGTCTCGCGCTTGGGATATGCCCAGGTACATGGAGGACCGTCGACCGGGGGCGAATTGCGACCCATACCGAGCCGCTGGGCCTGGGAAGTGTGAGACATGGAACGTCCGCCAACGTCCTGCTAGGTCCTAGGTCCCGCTAGGTCTAGGTTCTGCTGGGTTTGGTGCAAAGCTCAAGACTTTGTTGAGGTTGGGTGGTGTAGGATTTTGTGCATCACTAGTGTGACTAGATTCGTGGTCCTCCTGGGCCAATCCTTGATTTCTTGTCCAAGCTGAGACAGGACTTGGCTGGTTTTCATTGGTCCGTTCTGTTCGCCATGCGCCGTTCACCTGAGGTGACGAAGATCATCATGAAGACCACTGGTGAGTGTCTGAGCGCTGAGACGATCGAAGCAGGAGGCAAGACCCACACGGCCTTCGTCTTCATCAAGCCCCACGCCAACAACGAGAAGGCCCGCAGATGAGACAGCCTGAAAGGTGTGGGGGGAGACTGGCAATGAGACATAGGGATCTGAGGGTGAAGAAGGAACTAAGACGCATGGGAGGTGAAATGAACAACACGAACGCCAGTGACTAGTGACTAGTGACTAGCGCATCTCCAAATGGATGTTGCACTGGGTAAGGACCGTTCCATCTTTTTGCTGCACGGTTTCGTTGCTCCTACTCGCCACGAAGACACAAAGGCAGCTCTGTTCGCAGCTCTGTTCGCATCTGACAGGTCCAGACGTTGGTGAAGGAGAAATTGACCAGCGAAGGCCTCACCATCAAGTCTGAGGGCACCATCAAGTCCACCGTCATCGACGCTCGGCCGAACGCATCGTCTTGGAAGGTCGGTGGCCAGGCGCCTCCGATGTCCAGTGACCTCGAGGGTCACATCTTTTGTCTATTGGTCAATGTAACACCCCCAGTTGGACAGGTCATATATGGAAATGAGCTGTGATGGCTGAAGGCATGGGGAAGCACATCTCGTTTGTGCTGCACTTACATGGTGACGATGCTGATTTTGAAGCTTTGAACTAGGTTGCGGTTCCCCAGGTCGCCTGGTGTAAACAAGGCGCCTGGGGAACCGCTTGGCTTGGTCACTCCCACCCAGCGCTTGCTCCATTCGCACCATTTTTCACTTCGTGAGTTGAGCGATCCGTTTCAAAAACTGGCTTGGTTTCACCCACCGATCTTCATCTGAAGAACATTTCAACACAAAAGCACTCACATCGATCAAAGAATCTAATACAAACGGATGCAGCGCTGGATCCACTGGGATGCCGGAACACCCTGCCTGTGCCGTGTTGCCTCAGTCTGAGTGAGGACAAGAAGAAGTTGATCGACACCCACTACGGTGCCATTGCGGCCAAGGCGGTGACGATGAAGCCCAAGGACTTGACGGTCCAGGAGAAGTCGCAGGAGGAATTTGAGAAGCAGTTTCTTGGTTTGGGTTGGATTTGACCAGGACGCGGTTTGTCAGTATGGTGGCCGTTGGCTGCGACAGCGTTTTCTTTCCGTTCCATGGCAGGTCAAGACCCTGTCTTCTGTCAGAACGGGAGTTTCTTGAGAAAGCTCGTTGCTTGTTGGAAGGACAAACGTGAGTTCGTATCGAGGCCTGAGATCATATTATAAATATATATATATATATATACATGTATATAGTTCATTTTATTTCATTTTGCACATTGACATCGGCTCAGTTTTTGCCGAATGCGTCGCACCAAAACACAGGTCCTCTTTTTATACAGTTTTCTCGCCCAAAACTGTGGAACCAGTGCGCCAGGTTCGGCGTGAAGTGGAGCAAAGTCATGGAGGACGGACTGGTCTTCAACGCCATGGACGGTGCGAAGAAGCTGGGCATCACGGCCGATGAGTTGGGCAAGAAGTACGATGCGCTCAAGAAGGGGGAGGGCATCATCAAGTTCGGAGGCGGCTTCTACTGTGGAAAGGTGGATGACATCTATGTGTCTTGGTGGGGCGAGGAAGGCGGTTGATGAAGAAAAGATAAAAAGACGCTTTACCATCCCAATGGGAGAGTTCTTTTTACTCAAAAAATGCGCCTACCTGGATATCGAACAGGTCGGTCGGTAAAATAGATGGCCAGGCGAAGACCCCTAAACTAGATATGTAGAAACACTCGCGCACATACATTACATATCAGGAAAAACAATGCCCAAAGCAGGTTGAAAAAGGGGATTGCTGTATCTTTTCTAAGCCACTGCGTTGTTTCAATCAATTCCTTGTGCCACATGACCTTGAGGTCATCAACGGCTTCTACATGAACATGCGCTCCAAGTTCACCGCACCGGGAACCAGTATCTACTATTATGAGGCCGATGACCTATTTCCGACCACATTGAATTTTGTGGATCTACATGGACCAGAATCAAACCATCAATAAAGTAGACTGTTTGTAGACTGTTGATGAAGAAAGCTCCCACGTATACCAGAATGGTTCAACATCTACAATCTCCACGACTTCGGGGATTTGATATCATCATTCTCCGCTCCGCTCCAAAGATCCAAACAGTTACCCGGTCGGTGGACCGGACTCTGCCGAGTCGTATTCGACAACGAGAACGGTTCCTTCGTCCCAAAGTCTGAACCTGACCAACTTGGATCAACTCCCCGCGGACACTGCTGAGAAAGCCACATCAGACATGCGTCACTAGTCGATACAACACATGCCTCCACCTGATTGGAATGATCAGTATAAGTACTATGATTCCAATCATTCCAATAATCCACCTGATTGGAATGATTATGTATTCCATGATAAGTATGATTCATGGAATGATCATGGAATCAACACCTGCTCGATCTGCGAGCTGCCACTTTGCCACCGCCGAAACGGCTCTTTCCTCGTCGCAGGTGGAGTGGCCCGTGGAGCTGCTTAGTCGGGATCGCCAGGGTGGGATTGTGTGAGGATCGACGTGGGTGGAGCTGACTGCTGAGGCTTATGATGTTCTCAGATGGTGGGATGACTCTCCAGTAGCTACTCCACCTTGGCAAAAGACAAAAAAAGAAGCGAGGTGGTTCAGTGGTTCAGGTATGGTCCTCAATTCAACACCCAGCACCCATATGGGGCAGAACATGGGTCGTGGCAGAAAACAACGGAACTTCAAATCCCAGCATCAGTCCACCGGTGTTCTGAGCTAAAGAACCTTTGACGTCAAAGGTCGGGGCTACATCGTGAATAACCTGGACCCCCCCAGTTGGGGTGGTTAATGGACACTCCTTGACCTCTGAGTCTCTGAGGTAGGCTATAAATGGACACCCGTTACGTGGAGCGCACCCCACCGACGGGTTCTTTTCCTATGCGTTTCTCTCCTGCGGTTGGAGCCCCAAAAGCAACACCAAGACGGGCCAAGCCCGGAAGCTGGGGCACACCTGGGGAGACTTGGGGTCCCACCACCACTTTGGAGGCATCTTCGATGCTAAGCCACCTGTTGGATGCTCAGCCAACCCTTTTTTGGGCGTCCTCGCCGGCCTTCGAAGGCCTCCTCGAAGGCCTCACCGTGGCACACGGAAGCCCGCCCGAGGAAGATGCCTTGGGCCGACTTCCGTGGGAAGCTGCTGGGCCCCACCGACCCTGCGAGCGCGCCGGAGGGCTCCCTGCGCCAGCAGATCTACAGCAAGTGGTCCGACCTGGGCCGCTTGGCGCGTTGGACCGGGGGGGATGGGGTCTTTCGAGTGGCCAAGAGGTGAGGCAGGTGGGGCATTTGAGAGGCAGATCTGGTCAGTGGAACCACTCGAAAAGGGGGAAGAAGAGGGGGAAAGACTTGGACAAGCCAACAATGGTGCTTTAGATCAGCCCCACAGCGCAAGAGTGCTTGGGTCCCGGGGGATGCCCCTCCCTCAGAACAGTCATGGAAGCTGAGTGCTGCCCCCCTTTTGTGGAGGACAATTGTCTTCCAGGGGCATGTGCTTGACTTCCATGATTGTTTCAGGGAGTGCATTCGGGAACACCTGAAGAGAACCCGAAGAGATCTATGGCGGTACCTGAGACCGGCTTGAGAAGCTTCTCCGCATACTCAAGCCACCCAGGTTTGAAAGCGCAGCCTGCACCTCGCCGGCAGGGGGAGTGGGTGGAGCAGGTTATTTAGGTCCTAAATTCGTTTGGACGCAATCTTGGAATCATCAGGGATGTGAAAAGCCACCGGTTTGGAGAGCAAGCACTTCCATGATAATTCCAGGGAGTTCAGCTTCAATCCCTATTTGAAGGGAATTCCCTATTTGCTCTTCTCTCTCCCAAGATTCATGAAAACAACGCCTTTGAACGGAAGCGTTGGACGGGGCCCCCAACAGAGCCAAGTGCTTTGAAGGCCACGCCCGAGACTTCGCCAGCCTTTTTTTCGAATTTACCGACCGCCCCCGGGCTGTGCCCGCGCCTTAGGACACCGGCGACAACGGTGTGCACGCCTCGGCGAGCCCCTTCGAGGCGCTGGCCGAGCGCTGCAACTGGCTCCGGGCGTCCATTTCAAAGGATGCCTTCGGCAAGGGCCTGCTCGCCAGCGGCATCCCCTTGCCCATTTTGACCAAAGAATGGTTCAACGATCCTCAAGTGGACTTCGAGGGTGCCTCGGAGTAAAGATTTTGAGGTTTTGGTCTTAATTTGTGGGTAGTTGGTGATATTGCGATATTGCGGAGCTCTTGGATGTAAGCTCGTTGAAGTTGTTCAACACTCTCAACCGATGAATCTGAGCCTCACACAGTTGATTCCAGTCCACAGGCCCCTGGCTGCCTGATCTGTACTTCTCAGGTGGAAAGAAGTCCTTGTTTGACCTCTTGGAGGATTTGGACGCGGCGGCGTGCTTGAAGAAGTGCAAGGAGATTGCAGCCGCGAACAAGAAGTGAGCCATGGACAACAGCAGCCCTTGTGCTGCAGCTGCGGCCCTCGTGCCGCAGTTTCTGGTGGATTTGCCACCAACAGATGCCAGTCAGCCCTGACTGACCCACTAGAGGATGGGCCTCATCCTCGCCCCTGAAGTCAACAGTTGGCTGGAAACTGGCAACTGTACCTGTATTTCTTAAGATGCCAGATTGCTCCCTTTAAAACCCAAATAGCAATGTATGTATATCTATCTATATCTATATCTATACCTATATATATATATAGAGAGTTCTTTATAAGACGTCGATGTTGGTGCGATCTGGCACCTTGGTGGCGGTACAGCTCCTGCCACCGATCTTTCCCTTTATCTCGACCTATGCTCACAGAAGATGAAAGAAACTCATTCAATAGGGGGGTCATGGCGGGGGAACTGCAGGCCCCACCGCCGCCATCCCTTCAGTCCCTGGAGCATTTTCTGCACCTCCGAAACTCCACGTTGCTGCAAGCGCAGAGAGCGCGCGCTCGCGCGCGCGCGCGCGTCCCCGTGCGAGGTCCGCTTGGAGGGCGGAAGTGGAGAGTTCGCCTTCAAGGAGGTCAGGAAGGGCACAGGGATGGGGTTGTGGGGTGCTGAGAGGCTTGTGTTTGTTGGGCCCACGTGGGCATGCGCCTGCCTAAGCAACATCTAAATGTGCCATGAGCCACGTCAACCATGCTGGTTGCAACAGTCTTGGTGCCCAGTTTTTCTCAGAATCTCTAAAGGCCAACCCTTGATGGATGACCGTGGCGGGGTGCTGCAACACATTGAACACGCCAGGTGCAGGTTCTCGTTTAAAGACCCCAAGCCAGGTGCGGGTCCTTGTCGTGGTGGGGGCAAGGGCTGGATTCCACCGAACTGATTCGACCTCCCGACAGGCCAACCTGCAGCTGCTCTTGGTGGGAGGGCCCAACTGACCGCCATCGGCAGTCGTGGGGTTCCGGTAGGTCGGTGGGTGTAGCCGCTCTGAATGGCACCATGTTCAGGACATGCAAGGACATGCTAGGACATGCATGTCCCCACCCCATCTCTGAAGACAACGGTCCCCAATGTCCTGTTGAATTGCAAAGGGCTTAAAAGGGGCGTGACAGAGGAATGCAATTGAGAAAGCTTCGAGTTTATTGGTTTATATATCAAACTCACGAATACTCAAGAGAATGATTGCACACAGCCCAGAGGGTCTTACGGCGGCGTGCTTCACATTGTTCGCCATCCAGGGGTTCCAATGGTCAACGAGGATGTATGAAGACGCACAAAGACGCATGCTATACTATTTTCATATTGTTTTTAGGCTGTTCAGAAAAAAGAAAAGAAAGAGCAGTTGTTGAACAAGAAGGCTATTCTCAAGAGAAACGACGTAAGTCAAGAAAGAACACTCTGAGAGGAGGGCCTGATTAAAAGAAAGCAGGCTACACACATTAAAAAAATCCGAGAGGCGGGAAAACGAGGAGAAACAGCTTGAAAGCAAAAGAGCAGAGCCGAAGGTTGCAGACAGCGAGGGCCATCTTCGGACTCTGCCCTTCGCCGAGTCGCCGATCCGGCGCCGCCGCTGCGAGGCGGGTGCCAGCTGCCCGGACGGCGGTGGTGTGGTGGAGGGCCTCGATGAGCTCCTGGCCCAGGTGGGAGGGGAGTCGGGAGCTGCTGTTTCAGCACGGTTTCTACCATCTACAGACCTCCGTTTGGATCCAGCCTTTACGTGGATCACACGCATCTCCATAGTTCTCGCGGGACTTTTTCCGAATTTGATGGAACATCTGGATTTCTTGGGGTTAGATATGCTGCTGATGGCCCTTGGAAAAGGTGGGCTCCATCGCAGGTCGCCTTCGCCTTGCTCGAGGGCGGGAGCCGGAAGAGTTCCGTTCGATGTCTCCAACCGTCAGACCCGCGACCCGCGACCGTTTCCATTGCGGGTTCGATGAGCGAGAGCTGTGAGACATTGGCAGCGCCCGATTCCGACCTGAAAATCACGAAGACAGTGGAATCACATCTTGCTGGCTTTGGACCTCATGTGATCCGGTTTCTTGGTGACGGCCGAATCACACCAGGCTCCAATCAAGTTGATTCTTTTTCGCCCGAGTGAGCACAAACGCCCGAACTGAATGAACCATTTGTGCCCTGGCAACGGTCGAACGGCCAGACTGATAGATGGAAGTTCGACGACTTGTTGTTTTTTTCCAGGCATTTCTCCGGTCGCCGGTCGGCCATGCAGAGATCAACGACATGTGTCGCACAACGAATTTTCAAATTGGTAATTCCAGAGCCGGGGGCACTCACCATCGTTTGGGCCCTGACACACCTAGGTTGGGCCCTGAGAATTCCGCTCGATCGTTGTACCCTGGTTGACCCTTTGGGAACGTTGGGAGCCAGGTATGCATACACATGTCAGACGTGTGGTGTGTGTGTGTGTGTGCATACCGTAAGACATTTGCATACATACATGCGTACAAACATGTGTGCGCAAGTGCTGGGTGCCTTTCCGCAAGCATCGAAGCATGTGTTCAATGATGTGGTTGGCGAATCAGGCCCGACCCGAAGCAGTCGTGGGCTCTTCGGCATTTGCCCATTCGGTGTGTTTCTTGCAGATTCACAGCAGCCACCTTCATTCACAAATGGGTCTTCGAAAGGTCAAGCAGTAACCTCCAACAGTGATCCGGAAGAGAACTCGAACTGCCTTCTATCCAGCTGCCTTCTATCCAGCTGCACCTCTCCAATCTCCTTTTCCCTGACCTCACCCCTTCAGACCTCTCCAGACCTTCCCCTGTCACGACGCCCCGCGCGCCGCAGCGGGCCCTCCGCCATGACGAGCCCCGGGCTCGCCTCGCCGCGCAGCCCGCGCAGCCCGCGCAGCCCGAGCCCGCGGGCGCCGCCGGAGGTGAAGCCGCTCTTCTCGGCCTCCTCGGACCACAGGTGTCGTGCGGGCTGTTCGGGGAGAAAAACATCGAAGGAATCAAAAGGGCATAAGGCGGCATAAGTGAAGTGTTAGAGCCTGTAGGGTCCCACTTGGTGGAAAAGAAGAGCCTTGGCAAGCAGTTGTTTGAGGTTCGTTTTGTGGTTCGTTCACCCCGACTTGAGCCTATGATGGCGCCAGCATTGGAACGCTGAGCGGGGCCGCCAGGTGCCTCTCGCGTGCAGCGGCCGACGCGGGCGGGGAGGCGTGTGATGAGCGCCAGCTGCTGCTGATCAAGACGCGGGTCGCGTCGCATAGGCGGTGAGAAGGGTGAAAACGGCGGACGTCTCGGGTGATGGCAGGGTGGTGTCCCCACCTCGGTGCCGTTGGACGCGACGTCGATGGGTTCCTGGAAAAGCAGCGCAATGGAGAATCGGAATTCATGCGAAATTTGAACAAGTGCCAAGAAGGTGGAAGTGCTTGAGCTGCTGGGTCAGAACATGTAACCCAGCCAAGCCATTTGGTTGGAGCTTGGGGGGATGACTTGGCTTCTCGCATCGGTGTTTGGACGACTAAGATAGTGTTGGGCCTCAGTGTGACGAAGGGGTTTTGAGAAAGACTTGAGTGGGCCAAGCTCAGAACCCAATGCGGCTGGTATCAGTGGAAGATTCTTGGTTCTTCACATATGTATATATATATATATGGTCCATTATGTGGTTCTTTCACTGAGGCCCGTCCAAGCGTACCAGTAACTGGGTGTGGGAAGTCGAATGTCCAGACCGCAGCTTCCAGGGACCTGTTTGGATGCCTTTCCTAGCAGCTTTGGTCGACGGTGACTGGTGTTTTCTTCCAGCCTGTGCAACACACAGGGGCGGAACTTTCGCTTGGGGCCAACGGGGATCGAGTTGATGGATGAAGTGAGGTCCAGGTGCTCTGGGGCGAATCGTAGTGATCGCACGGACGATGGGGCAATGCCAAACTCTTGACTGTCACGCGGATACGATGTGTAGTATGTAGTAATATACTTCATATATGAAGGAAGACGACCCCCACGCATGACAGTCAAGAGTTGGACATTCTCTCTTGATCATGGCCGGACGAGGGTGCCTCGTGTTTGTTCCGGTGCCGGTGACTGCTCTCGGTCAGGCTCTCCCAGTGCAAGGCCAAGCTCGGCTCCTGCGCAGCGCGTTTGGACCACCTCCAGCGCCAGAAACGCCCGAGGCGGCAAGACTTGCTCGAGGCCTCCAGGCGGATCCGGGGTTTCTGTCGAAGGTGGATGCTTTTCTCCCAAGGACACCATGTCGAGCATTTCGGTCATTAGGGCATACTCCACAAAACAATAGGTATCGCGATTGGAAACGAGCACGAATGACAATTGGTCGGCTTTCGGTTCCTTGGTGCACTGGGGAAGATCGGAACCTGAACATGGACCTTTGGAAGACGATTTTCCGGTTCCACGTGGGGTCTTTCCCAGGGTGTATTTGGAACACTTCGCCCGGCTCACCCGGGGCGCTTCGTCAGGCTGCTGCTGGAGGTGGTGTTCCTCCTCACGGAGGCCGACCGAGAGCGGCGCGGGCGGGGCGACCGCTCGGATGCTCGGACCAGGACACCTAGTCCAAGGAGGCAGGGGGGGGCTCGGGAAAATGGGGATAGTAGTAGGGGAGGTGGAGCTCTTCTTGGAGATGTGGGGCTGTGAGTGTTTGGCTTCTTCAACTTCCAGAGACCACATCCTGAATTGTTTGATCCGCTGGATGAGGGACCTTCGTGATGGATCGCACGAAGGTCACTTTGGTGATGCGCATCCGCGAGTTTTTGTCCCACAGTGGATGACCATAATGACTAACGCACATTACTCTAGCGAGATACTGACATGCCCGGCTGGTCAAAGCCAGGATACTGGTGTTGGGGCTTCAGGTTTTGATCTCGCCCGCTGCGTGGTTTGTCCCCTGCGAGGCCCTGCTCGCCGCACTTCGGCACTCCGGAGCTTGCCTCTTCGGCGGAACGAGTGGCTGGGCGACGTACTTGTCGTCTCGGATTGTGTTGGGATCGTTGACCGAACCCCTAGCCTGCCAAGTCCAACACTATATATATATATATTTATAATAATGGCTTGACCTGGTTTTATAATGTAATTCTTTTCAACACACCATATAACAGCTAGCTGGAGTTGTTCTTGCTTTGGCGAGGGGCTGGAATCCTCGAGAGCGAGCGCCGCATCGCGTGAAAACTTCCCCTCCTGCGGGTTCAACTCCTCCCTGGGACGTCTCTGGGACGTGTGTAGTTCTGCTAGCAGGGGGCTGACTGTTCCTGTGGCGGCAGATATCCCCCGCTTCATCCCTGCCCTGCTAGCTTTCGTCACCAACTCTCGGCCTCAAGTATAGAAAATGCTTGCTGTGGTTTTCTACGGTAAATCCTACGTAAAACAGTGGTTCGGGAAAGGCCATGATGTTGATGGTGAATCCTTTCGGAGACCGAGACCCACCGGAACCAGCGGAACCACTGGACGGACTTCCCGAGGCTTGGAGTCGGACCCGGTCGTTCCTTGGCACGACTCTGCTGGAACGGGAGACCGGGTCTCGGGGGGTTCCAGCATGGAACGGCTCGCAGCGGTCTAGCTGGAACCCAACTGACCCCTGTTTTGATAGGAAAGGGCCTGGCCTTTTTGGGTGGTTGGTGGTCCAAAATAGGGGTCATTCAGGTTCTAGGTATATCTACCTATCTATCCATCCATCCATCCATCCATCTATCTATCTATCTATCTATCTATTTATCTATCTATATATCTCTCTGTGTGTGTGCGCGCATGTAATTACGGTATACATATAGACACACACACATATATATATATATATATAAATCTATATACAGTACGTTATATATATATATAACACTATCAATCATATATATCTCCCCTTCCTCGAAGGTCCACCCATTTTGTGGACTCAGGGAAGAGATCTGCCAGATCTGCCACAGGTCACTGTGAAGAGGCGCCATACCTGAAATGATTTTTGTTTCAAGACATGCTGGGATTGGGCTTTGCCCAGGCTTTGCTCGGATCGGAACACCTCCTTGGCGCATACCAAGCTTGTGCGTTTGAGGCTGAGCCCCCGCGTGGATCTCCGCATGACCATGCAGATCCCGGAGGCATACGGGGAACGGTGGACGGTGGGGGCAGCCACTTAGCACCCGCGCTGGCTACACCTACAGCTACACTACTTGCTACTACTGCTGCTGCTACTGCTAATTACTACTGCTGCCGCTGCTGCTACTACTGCTGCTACTGCTACTGCGAGTACTGGTGCTACTACTACTACTACTACTTCTTCTGCTACTACTGTACTGCTGCTATTGCTACTACTGCTATTGCTGCTGCTACCACCTATTACCACCTACTCGCACCTACTCGCACCATCACGTCGGCCATGACCCTTCCCGCAAGGGTGCGCGCCTTTGGAAGAAGTGTCGCTCCTTGACCTCCTGGGCCTCCAACATGGCCGCCGGCGCCGTTCCCGAGCACCTCGGCCTTGTCCGGACGACGAGCGCCCTTGTGGGAGCGTGTGCAGCGGAGCAGCGACTGAGGCTGGTGGAGCTGTGTGCCAAGCTCCAGCTCGAGGCGCCGCCGAAGACCCCGTGTGCCACGCCGCGCTGCGTGGACACGTTGGCACGGCGGAACATGGAGGGCCGGGCAGTGCGCTGCAGCTCGGTCTACCGAGTGGTGGGGGATGCGCTGAAGTGGTCAGGTTGACGCGCAAACAGTTGGAACGTGTGGTGGAACGTGTGAGTGACCTAGGGCTGTGTGCTAAAGGGTTGCCTTAGAATGGCACGTGTTTGGCGTCGCGCTTTGTTTCCAAGACCAGTGGGCAGGAGGCACCGGCCTCATCGTCCAAACCCCCGAGGTCCGTATGCAGAGAAGGGCTGCCCCATGAACCGCTCGCCTTGCTTCATCGAGCAGGGGGCTCCAGGGGGGTGGAGACCGGAGCCTGGCCGTTCTTGGGGTTGAGATATGTGTGAACATCAAGTAGGAACCACTGAGTTCCACTGGTGGTGACAGTGAGTCGGTGGAATCGAGGACAGGGATTTCTTTAATGACTCTTTATTTCTTTTTTCTAGTCGTGTGAAGTGCCTCGGAACCGGTGTGGTGAAGCAACATTTCCATTGTACCGATGCGACGCCGTGGCGGACTTAAAGTTCGTCCTCCGCAAACAGCTCTCAAACGTCCGAGCTCTTTATTTTTTGGAGACTATAAGTATGAGAACCAGGATATATTCAAGTCCCAAATTCCCAAAGACGTCGTCCTTATTCTCAACGACGTTCTTATTCCGTGGCGCCGAAAGGTGATAATGTCGGCGCCCGACCGTCATGTCGGCGGCCCTTTCCGCGGTAGCGGCCAGAACACTCCCGGCTTCAGGTAGCGGCCAGGCTAAGAGATGCTGAAGGTACATGATTCTCACTCTCCTCATTGCACGGTGGTATGTTTATTTTGTTCCTTTCCATTCATCGGCTCCAGGGGTTGAAGGGTTTTTCAGGATAATGGAGCTAATTTGGAACATCTCAACACCGAGATGACTACCGGTTTCCTATAGGTCTTTTTGAAGTTCTTTAAGGACCTCCTCCGAATAGCTCTATGCTCTTTGCTGCAAGACTCTGAACCGCCAGGGCTCACGCCTTGGATTGCGACTTCCGCCCAGTGGCCTGTGCTTACGGTGCGAGTGGCTGTCGGCACATGCCTTTGGCCTTTGCCGCTAGGGCCGGCAGCAGGTTTGATAGGTTGGGTGGGATTGGGAGGATGCGGCCTCAGTGCACAGGTATGGACCAGGTTTCTGCATGGCTTTCTTTTCTACTACTGGTGTGCACGTCCACAGTCAGGACATTTACACATCACCCCCCGGTTGTTCCACACCTGTTCCCCGGTGACACATACGGGGATTCACTTCCGGGAGACCCAGTTTTGCCAGGGGTTTACGGGGATCACGTCTGAAATGAGGTGATGGATTAATATTTTTTTGTTTTAGTATACGCATTCAAGTTAAAACCGTGCTCTTTCTTTTAATTAGCCCTATTTAAACACAGCTTTCTGAAAAGTTGATAACATTAATAACCATGCTAAATTAATAGAGATACAAATAATCGTTGCTTTATTGGTTTTAATCAATTTTTACATGCTATAATTGATTTGATTAGTACAATGTTTGTGAGCAATTGGCAGTAGGGAGAATATTCACAATCTTGATCTTACAGTTGTGCTTGGCTAGTTTTGACCCGGATCTTCCGGTGATCTGTTTTTTTGATCGGGACTTGAACGTGTGAAGCACAATGGGACAATGGGGTTCTGCACAATCACCTTGGACAACCTGCACCAACGGATGATGAGCTTTGTAGAATCCAGTCATGAAGTTCTCGCTGCTGAAGCTCGAAATGACCGGATTTCTACGAGACTTATTTCCCGTTTTGGAACTGAAGGGTGGGTTGCAAGTCGGGCCGAAAAGGCGTTTCGCTTGATTTGAGCACCCCCTAGCTCACATAGGAGGCTTGATGAGCACTTCTAGGTCGCCACCTGCTTGGCATCCTCTAGGCCGCCCGTTGGTGTCTGAAAAACGTTCCAAAACCCGCGCGCGGTTGGACTGACCACGTGCCGAGGAGGAGCAAGAGCACTTGGAGGTCTGCGACTTCCGTCCCGTGCCGTGCCGCTACGGCTGCGACGCTGTGGTGTGTGCCAACGCCGAGGATGAACATGCTGCCGAGTGTGGCCGGGATGCGCTGCGAAGGGGGAAGGGGCCGGAGGGTGTCGCACACGTGGAAAAGCCAAAGAAAGCTGCTGGTCTTCTTGGCGGATGCGGCTGAAAGCAACAGATATCCACTGCTTTTGGCCTTCTTTTCTCTTTATCAGTGGGTTGGGTGCTACCCCATTCATCCCACTCTTGAGCCCAAAGCCGCCAAAAAGCAACAGAATGTGAATGTCGAGACTCTGACATGTGCAGTGCCAAAAGAACATTACAAGAACTTACAGGAATCAAGACCTAGAAATCAGTTCCCTGATGTCCCAGGTGGTTTCGCTTTGGGACTGTTCTACCGGCCCAATGTTGAAGTATTTCGTATTAAGCAGGTCATCATCGTTGATTCTTAAATTCCAAATTTCCAGAACATCCAGATCAAATTAGATTTAGTTTGCGCACCCAAATCAGGGTCTTAGTCAGGATCCGTCTCTTTGAGATTCAGCTCCAAAAAATGAAAGCAGAATGAAAGTAACATGAAAGCACGTGTAATGAACTGCAGAGGTGACTATTATCGCGGCTACCCCAAAACCTCCGCAAAGAAAACCACAAATTGGGAGACGTACCGTACCACAGTTATTAGTAATATAGATTTAATCGACCTTGGGGAGAGTTGGGGAGAGTGAGCCCTCACCAATCAAGGAGCGGAGCCCTCACCAATCAGGGACACCTCACCTCCGTGCGGACAGGGACATGCGCTCACTCGTCCCGTTTTTGCCCAAGAAACTGCGAGGTCATTATCGTCCTGTTTGTTGCCTTTATCAAGATCGTGGCTGTCAGGAGCCGGGCATTTGACTGCACCAGCATGCAAGAACCGTTCGCCATCATTCTCTTTGGGCCTAAGAAGGAGGGAACGAGCAAACCAGAAACTGCAATTCCAACACCATGTCTCAGAGACCGGCACAAAAAGGACACCACTCGGCTGCGACGCTTCGGCGCAGCGCCGTCCGCCCCGTCGGCTCCACAGGAGATCGTGGCGGCGTATCGGCGGCGGCCGCACGCCGAGGGCTGCGCCTTCCGGCCTGTCAAGTGCCGCTATGCGGCCAGAGGGACGCTTGGTGAAGGGGACGGTGGGTATGTCGAATCAGTGGGCCAAACAGAAGTCCCAACACAAGGAATAGGAGTTTTGAAACCGTCTTCTTGGGCCAGTCAAAGATTTAAAAGGATTGTTTCTCTTGGGGCACTGATAGGCATAGGCATACAATTTGCAGGTTGGGTTTGATTTTCGTGCTTGTGCCAAAGCAACGGGGGGTTTGGATCATTGAAACATATTCAAGTGGCCGAGGATCGTTTCTCGTGGCATACGTAAAACTTATGTTGGTCTACACACACATATATGTATATATATATATGTATATCCAGTTGACGGTAAGCCGTCTTGCCACTCAGTGGTGTGTGCAGTGGAACTGGCGAGCACGTCCATTGGTAGGATATTGTGCGAGAGGCGAGTTGGCAGCTGGGATGAGGTGTGCACACCAGCCGTCCAAGAATGAAGAAAAGACTCATGCTGCCGCTTGCCAATTCCGCCCAGAGCCGTGCCCACATGTGCCTTGTCAGCTCCTGGTGTGTAGGGGTTGAGGGGGTGTCATGTGCCGACAAACCACAGGGTTCTGCAGGTGTGTACTGGCCAGTCATCAGCAGGTTTTCAGTTTTGTACTTTTGGCCTGCAGATTCGTGAGCCACTTCGGCTGCCACATGAAAATGGTTGTGCTTCATTGGCCTTGTGGCCAGTGTTCCGCATTTCGAGATGGTCAATGCTACGTGCCTTGCCCACTGGCTGGCCGTGGCTGGCTTTCCACTATCGACCCCAAGAAAGGCGCCGTCGACCATGGACCCCTTTGAGAGGCCTGCAATAGGTGGGCGCACGCGAGTGACTGGAACCGGCCTTTTCTTTCCGTACCCCCCTAAAACCTTAAGACTCTGGATGATGGGGTCAGCCATCACATCGGCCACCCTGATACGGCCGTCGTCCCCAAATGCCGCAGCCGGGGCCCTGCAGGCGGCGCGCGGCTGCGGGGAGCTGCTCAGCACGGAGGCGAGGCCTTCGCATCTGAAGAACCGCACCACGAGCACCTTCCACACGGAAAGCCTGCTTTGTGGTGAAGGGGTCGGACTTCTTACCAGAAAATGGGATCATGTGGGTGGGCCCTCCTGTGAGGACGTCGAGCGCCATGCATGGACCTGTGCATACCGCCCAGTCTCCTGCTCCTGGGCGTTTGGCATTAGTGTGTGCTGCCAGTATAGCACGTAGACCTTGCTGATGTGATGGTCTTCTTGCATCAATATAGGTACCGTCTGGCCTCCGACTCACTAACATGGAAGTGGAAAACCACCTGTTTATAGAGAAGCGCTAGTCACTAGTCTTACCAGAGTCTATGTTCCACTTCCATGCAGTGTGTGTAGTGCTTTTCCTCACTTAGGATGTGAGCTACTGAGACAGTTTGCCAACCGCTTTCAGAGGCGGCTTAAGCTCCAGAGCGGTGGTTGTCCTGGAGCTGAAAGGGTTCGTGCTGATCTGAGGCCCTTTTGAGGGCGATGGTTGCGAAGAAACGGTGAACTACAAGGATGTGGAGCATCACAAGGACCCAGTTCCATTGGGGACAGAGGTGGCCTGATCGGATCTCATAGATGGCCAGAAGAAGACGGCTGTTTGTTCAGGACACGACCCGAGGGGCCCCCCCCCGGGGAGACGTGCAGCCAGTAGGACCAATAGGTATAGGGTACTGAACGGACCCTCCATCATTCCCATCCTTTGTGGTTTCCAAGGGCTGATCCGTCTGTGAGTGAAGACTTCCCGATGTGGTTTGCCAGGACATTTGCTCCTTCCGGCCGGTAGCCTGCCCTTTCCTGGCTGCAGGCGGGAGGTGGTGAAATAGGACGGTTCCAGTGTCAGGAAGCTGGCTTGGACGAAAAGGTTCCATTCAACATCTGAAAACCAATGCACCAATGTGAACCTTCACCACGAGTGATGACAGGAAGCCTTCTTTTGCCCCTCATGTGTTTGAATGTGGTTGATGGGCTCTGACTTCATGAACCCACCCCGGACTATGTCTGGTTCACCGTGCTGTCCGCTGTGTGACCCGTAAAAAAAGCCTGTCAGGATGCAGGATGCAGCCGTGCTTCAAGGACCGTGCGACGCATGCGGAAGGCTGCAAGTTTCGCCCGGTCTTGTGCAAGTATCGAGCCCGGGGCTGTGGCCGGGCCGCGCCAGTCATGGGGGGAGCGGCGGTGGGGATCCGTTTCTTCGTATTCCTTTGGCAATCTGCTTCTTTTGTTGGCTATACTGTAGCGACTTACAATCTTAATGTATGTTCTTGGCCCTACTGTTAAGCACGGCGTCTGATTTCAGTTGCCAACCTCCCCCGAATCATGAGGTCCTGGAACATGACATCAAAGTGAACATCGAGACGCCATTGCTGTTCAGATCCCATGTTTGTTTCAAGACGGGTGATCCTCACTGCTGATGATATTTGGTGACTCTGCCGCTGTTTGTCTCCCCACACTCAAGCGATCTCGTGCGACGATGTTGGTGGCTAAGCGAAGCCCACAGCGAAGTGTTCGCTCCTCCTAGGCACCATTCAGCTGCCCTTCTTCAATGCCTCCCGACATGCCTCTGCCTGCGGATATCGTCCACTCAGCTGCATCCACCAGTCGCGTGGGTGCCCGAAGAAGGTGAGCGCCCAGGATTTGCAGAAGCACAGTGAGAGTGCCTTGGCGTTCAGGACTTGGGAGGAGGCCATCCTTCCATCGCCAAACGTGCGGACGAACCGCCTGGCGGAGTGTCCTCCGTTCACAGATTTGGAGCCCAGCCATCTCAGCAAGTTATAGGTCCTCAAAGGTGGAACGGCCACCGACCGCTCTCCGACCCCTCCCTCTTCTCCTCGAGTCCGACCACCAGCGCCGAAACGTCGCGCCCCGGGCCGTGCAGCCCCGAAGGTTGCGGCTTTCGGCCGGTGGAGTGCAGACACAAGGGCTGCTTGGAACGGCCCAATGCGGACGACGCGGCGCATCACGCGGAGACCTGCGGCCGCTGGGCTTAGATTCGACCGGGCTACCGATGGATCGGGCCAAAACCTTGGGGGGGATGCCTGGGGTCTCCCCCCAAGAGATGTGGGGATGTTAAGGGACAAGGCTTAGTTTCAACGGACCCAACAGACCCTTTTCAAAGTTTCTTCCTTTTGTTTTTCTTGGATCCTTAAGTGAACCATTTCCAGAAAGAATCCCCCCAAACTCCCTGAAGTACATCTGTGTCGCACGCGGGGGCGCAAGTCGCCGCCGCGGCCACCGAAAAGCCCAGCATGGCAAGGCTTCCGCTTGGTGAGCTGCCCCTACGTGTCCAACGGGTGTGAGGCGCGTTCCGGGCCAGAACGGAGATCCAAAGATCTGTCTTTGCATCTGTATACGGGTTTTGGTCCAGAAACGACTTGGGATTCAGAGGGTTCTCGGTTTTTTTGCTTTTCTAAGGGTTTTGCTTTGCCCCGTCCATATTTCGGGCACAGCTCCGAAGCCCGATGAACCAAAAGGCGTGTGGCTGTAAAAGGATGGAGGTCTTCCAGTTCAGCTTTCCCCAAATGCTTCAAGTACCTGACGTACTTGCATTTGCATGGTCCGCCATGAGATGCAAGTTGGAATCGGCTGCCAATGGAATGGTTCTACTATCCGAAATTCTTTTCGTGTCACGTTGTTGAGCTTGCTGGTTTCCTGTCATGTATAGATAGATCGATAGATAGATAGCTGCTTCAGCGCTTACCCAGGAGCGGCCGCAAGCTGCAGAGCTGGCAAAACACCTGGAGGCACTTGAGACGTGGTTTCCCTGATTTCTTTTGGACCGCACTTGAGCTGCAGAGCTATCTACTTGGACCTTCTTGGGACCTCTGGGACATCGAAAAAGACACCTTCTCCAACAACCGAACCTGGGCCCAGCCACCCGAGCTGCTTTGCCAGAGTTTTTCGATGGACCCAGGAAGAGTTCGAAGGCTGCGGGTTTTGGCCATGGATGAATGGGGCTACCCAAAATTGCCAAACCCCCTTCAACACTTGCCATCTGGTCTGCACAGATTCTACATATCAAGCTCAGGTGGTGTGGAATGCTTGCTTTCCACGTTGCGTGGGCTGGGCATGACCTGCAGCTCCTAAAGGAGCACCATTGGTCCCGCATGAAACAATCAATCCCCTCTCCTACCGGTCGAGACGCATGTCTTTGCCGGACGAGCTTGCCTCCGGTCGTGCCACTCGGATCGATTGGGACCCGGTGGTCGGAGACCACCGGGTCAAGGAGTGGTGGCGACCCCAAAAGAAACCATTGATTCGACCTTCCGTTCATGGAGCCGCCCAGACCTGCGGCTACCAGCCCTCAAGTTGCCCAAATGCCTCCCGTGGCTGTGGGGAGCGTCTCCTCTACAGCCGCTTGAGGACGACCGACCGCGGCGGAGCGCTTCGGGTGGGCTGAGAAGTTCATCTTTCCATCGGTGTTGGCTGTGTGCATTGGGGTGTGCATCAGTGGAAGGCACACATGGGATGCCGAATGTTTATGTATATAATATATATATATATTAGCTAAAATCACTACATCGTAAATGGGCTTTGAACATACTTTGCTGTCGTGGTGAACATATGTCCGTTCACACGTCTACTCTGGCGAACGTTGTGACGTACATTCACATATACCACGTTCATTGCCCCGCTCAGGTTTAAACCATATTGTTGTGAATTTAGATTATATATATAATATATGTATATACTATATTTATACAAATATATTTACACATAGATAGATAAGCCCGGCTAGAACGGGTTGGCTTGAGCCCCTGCCAAAAGACTCATTTTAGCCGGGGGCTGACCCCATAATTGAAGGAGCATGGGCTGGCTAAAAGTGTGCATGCTAGTCTGTCCCAAGGCTGTGGGCAAAATGGATCCGGCTTTGATGTCGGACCACCCCCCAATTTTATTTGGACCAATTTTGGCCACAGCTCTCTGAAGACTCCACGGACTGGTTTGAGGGAAAAACTGCCGGAAACCATGGTTTCAGGGACCAAGAGTGGACAAAGCGGTGGTTCATCAGCAGGGTATTGGGTTGGGTGGTCCCACATGTTTGAGTTTAAATAGGTGTATGGCAGCTGGTGGTTTTATCTTCAGGGACACCGGATTCACGTGAAACCCACGAAAGTCTCGAAAACAGTGGAAAACGCAAGGTTCTGGAATCATGTCCCGGGGGAGCCTCATACATTCTTAGAAGGTACTCTTGGACCCTCCAAGCTGACATAAAAAGTCATAAAGGAGACTCCAATCGCCTTCTCAGAAGTAAGTGGCTCCAGAGGGATAGATAGATAGATAGATAGATAGAGATATAGATATAGATATATATATATACATATTTTTAAACAACTCCAGCACAGACAAGGGCTTGCAATGCAGCACGCCAGCACCTTCCTCTGCTCCTGGAACAGGTGACACGAAGAAGCGCTGGCTAAAATGGCGAGGGGCCAACTTCCAAACAGGCAGAAGGCAGCACAGGTCAGCACCCTATAGAACCTAGAATTTAATTTTTTTTACATCACCGCCGAATTGTTTGATGCTGTTGTCTTTGGACCTGACCTGACCAAAAATGTCCAGCTAAAATGGCACAGGGCAACCTTCAAAGCAAAACTAAAGATGAGGAATCATGCTTAGGAAGAGGCACAGGCCTGGTGAGCATCCCTCAGGTCATCTCAAGCAAATAAGCAGTTCTGCATTCTTTACCTTCTCTTTGTGGACAATTAAGGTGTGGTGGGCCGACATGGGGACAGGCTGGAGGGCGGGAATTTCTTGACAAATTTGGAACTTGAATCGGCAAACTTCTAGGGTCTTATGTCGGCTCGTACCAAAGTAGCTTTTCCGTGGCTAATTTTAGCAAACATCCTCCAATGTTGGCCTCCAATCATTTCATCAGCGATTTTTGGCCACTGTGTGTTCCCAGCCGGCTGTGATAAGGAACACCTCAAAACACCCAGGAAACTATTGGCCCACACCACTCGGTACAACAGTACAGGCCCCGTGTACATATATAGATGGCATCTCTCAGGTCGATAAACATATGAACACTTGAACACACGGGGGCAACAACATGCTTGTGCTGATTGGTGTGTTTTGTGCGCGTGTTCCTCGGAGTTTGTACCTTCATGATGCATGTAGAAGCCGGGCAGGGATTGGGTTTCAACCGGGAACCGGGTGAACCGAAGAGAGCCGGTGGTGCGTAACCCAGAGCCGGCCAGAGCCGGCCCACCGGGAAAGCGCCAGTTCGTCGTCGTTGTTTCGGTTTCGTCGTAGCCCTCGCCAGTAGTAGTCCTCGTCCTTGTCCTCGTCCTCGTCGTTGGCGTCGGCGTCGGCGTCGTCATCGTGGTAGTCATGGTAGTCGCGGTGGTGGTGGTGGTCGTCGTGGTAGTGGTAGTGGTCGTAGTCGTAGTCGTAGTCGTAGTCGTAGTAGTAGTGGCAGCAGCAGCAGCAGCAGGAGGAGGAGGAGGAGTAGTAGTAGTAGTAGTAGTAGTATCAGAAGTAGTAGTAGTAGCAGAAGTAGTAGTAGTAGTAGTAGGAGGAGTAGGAGTAGGAGTAGGAGTAGGAGCAGGAGCAGGAGCAGCTTTAGCCGTAGTAGTAGCAACAGCAGTAGCCGTAGCGGTAGCCGTAGCAGTAGGAGGAGGAGGAGTAGTAGTAGTAGTAATAGTAGTAGTAGTAGTAGGAGTAGCAGTAGCAGTAGCAGTAGCAGTAGTCGTAGTGGTAGTCGTAGTGGTAGTGCTGGTAGGGGTAGTGGGAGTAGGAGTAGGAGTAGCAGCAGCAGGAGGAGGAGGAGCAGCAGTAGTAGTGTAGTAGTGGTGGTGGTGGTGGTGGTGGTGGTAGCAGCAGCATTGGTGGACAGAAGTGGCCCGGCTCGCTGACCTCTCTCGAAGAAGAATAGGTCGCCCCACTGCGGGTTGGTTTGCCTACTTTGGGCGGCTTCCTCCAACCTGATAGACCTCGCATTCGGTTTGTCCATTCCCGATCGGGAACAGCGCCCATGGAGCCCACACTTGCAATATATTGTATGTCTAAGAAGCGCTCCGAGGCACTTCTGGAGTTGGGCCGGGTGACTTTCCAACTCATGAGGGTCCGGGGAAGACTCACTGTCACTGTCGAGCTGTGACGCTCTGCACGTTGAACTTGCTGAAGCACTTGAAACTCCATGCCTGAGACATGGCAAACCGGAGTGCTCTCAATCAATTGTTTGTTCTTTAATCTTTGTTGGAAATTCTTTTTCGGAATCATGGGGGTCTGGGTGTGTAAAACCCTTAATTTTGTACAGCCAACATCTGGCTTGTTGGGAGCATGCAGGCCAGGGATGCAATTTTGTAAAGAACTGACATGTGCCAAGAGGGGTAGGTCGGCTCAATGAATCTGTAGAGTTTGAGATGGTTTAGTTATACCAATGTTGAATGTCAGACTTGCAAGCAGGGGGGTTTGACTCTGAAGAAGTTTGAGCTGAGGGTATGGACTTTGGAAAGAAAACACGGTAACATAGTTTGAGCACCTTCGAGTGTAGCATACGTCGCTGGGTAGACATGCTCAAGCCCGTGCAAACTATCTCTGAAGATTGGAAGAAACACATATTACCAGAGGGTAGCTGCCATAAGAGATTACATGATACGATTGATATCTTTTGAACTCGTTTGATGTTGTGAGAAATCTAGGGGAATCTATGGACTATCAAGTCTTCTGATCGGGTTTGAATGTAGACAGTGCACATTTGTGGATTTTTGTAGACAAAAAAACTTAAGCATGCCTATTGCTCCGCCAAACTGTCCCGTTTTCTGTGTGACCTGCCTGCAAACCGTTGGTGTCTTTTGATATCCTTTAATGGAAATGGATCAACAAAGGTCAAAAGATGAGAAGTAAAGAGAAGGAAGAACATAGTATGAATCATATATATGTTTATTTTTTAGACTGAAGTAGCAGATGTAGAGTGTTAGCGCATTGAGGTTTAAGGGTAGAGGGGTTGATACGCTTGGTATGGTTTGGTCTGGTTCCCTCTATGCTTTTCGCGCCAGCTGGATGCTGCGCAGGGCATGGGGCAGTGCGTGGAAGCAGTATCAGACCCGCCACAGTGGGAGCCCAAACGTGGTGTCTGGAGCAGCTTGGGTGGAATTTAGTAGAATTTAACTCCCAGAGCATCCTTAGCTGTCTACTTTCATCTAGCGTCAGATTTTCCGATAGTTTTTTCTTCAGAGTGTTTCTTTCAGCTTCACAGAGCAGTGAATTATAACTTTCCCACTATTTTCCTAAGATTATGGACCGTTGCAAAGTATGAGCCTAAACCGTTGCGAACTAGAACGTGGAACTAAGTCACGCAATGCAATTTGCAATTGGTGGCTTCTTCTGGTGGTCGCCGTCGTTCACATCATCAAACATACTCTGGTGTGTGGCGGGGCCGCAAATTTTAACATGTTTATAGCGATTTCGGACTTTCGCGTTTGACATCGTGTCAGCGCTTGCTTGCCCTGTCCCATCCTAGCAGGATTGATATGGACAAGTCCGGCATAGGATAAGTTTAAGACTAACTATTTACAATTATAATTTGCACCCATACCTTTACAATATTTACAGCTTGCTATATTCTAGTCGAGTTGCTCTTTTATTGAACTGTTGCGGGCTCGACAAGGGAATACGTGATGCGGTTCCCAGGTGACCTTGGGAAGGCGCCTGCAACCGGAGTCTGCTTTTTCATGTCTTATTTGCGTGTGATGTTTGCGGGTTAATTGCGGACCCGAAAAGGGAATACGTGATGCGATTCCCAGGCAACCTCGGGAAGGCGCCTGCAACCGGAATCTGCTTTTTCATGTCTGGTTTGCGTGTGATTTTTGCGGACTCGAACAGGGAATACGGGATGCGGTTCCCAGGCGACCTTGGGAAGGCGCCTGCAACCGGAGTCTGCTTTTTCATGTCTTGTTTGCGTGTGATTTTTGCGGACTCGAAAAGGGAATACATGATGCGGTTCCCAGGCGACCTTGGGAAGGCGCCTGCAACCGGAGTCTGCTTGTTTGTGTATGATTTTTGCAGACCCGAAAAGGGAATACGTGATGCTGTTCCCAGGCGACCTTGAAAAGGCGCCTGCAACCGGAGTCTGCTCTACTTTTTAAGTTTGCGTGTGATTTTTGCGGGCGCGAAAAGGGAATACGTGATGCGGTTCCCAGACGACCTTGAAAAGGTTCCTGCAACCGGAGTCTGCATTTTCATGTGTCGTTTGGGTAAGCAACCTTCCACAAGATACGCCTCCCCTCTGTACGTGGCAGAGGGTCGGCGGATTCTTCTTGTCGAGTGTTTGGAACTGTTTTGATCTTAGGTTCACGGGCTGCACGCCGGCTGTTTGGGGAAAGCAAGTCCACCGCTATTTCGTGAACGTCAAGCAG